CCCACACACACAACGGGGACTGAAAGCCTCCTGATGCCCCGTTGCCCCGCCCGTCCCCAGGTACGGCACCATGGACAGCGGCACGCGGCGCAAGAACGCCACGCGCGAGACCACCAGCACGCTCAAGGCCTGGCTGCAGGAGCACCGCAAGAACCCCTACCCCACCAAGGGCGAGAAGATCATGCTGGCCATCATCACCAAGATGACCCTCACGCAGGTCTCCACCTGGTTCGCCAACGCGCGCCGGCGCCTCAAGAAGGAGAACAAGATGACGTGGGCACCCAGGAACAAGTGCGCTGATGAGAAGCGACCCTATGGGGAGGGCGAGGAGGAAGAGGGGGGAGAAGAGGACTCCCGGGAGGAGCTCCTCAAGAGCACCAAGAATGAAGGTGGGTCGACGTTGGTGATGCTGGGGCTGGGGTTCAAGGCCAGGGCTCCCTGGGCCTTCTCTGTGGGTTCTAGGACAGCTGAAGGCATTGAACCCTTGGGGGGGCCTGGGTTCAAATGAATGAATGAACTAACCCGAGCAGGGCCCAAGTGTATGTGTGTGCGTGCGTGAGTGTGCATGCGTGTGTGTGCGCGCGCATGAGCCAGGAGCATGTTTGAAGAAATCCAGCATCATGTTTAAAACACTAGACACCCCTCCACCATTGAGTTCGTGCTAAAATACACTCACGGGTGTTGTCAGTTTGGGATCCGGGCGCCTCTGGAGATGAGAGGTAGGAAGTAAGGCCTCCTTGCTTTTCCTGTCTCCAGGGCCTAGAGGTAGGTGGGGCTTTAACCATAACCATAGATACAGAGTTAGGAAGGAGGAGATGGGGGGATAGTTAACCCACCATCGTCTCCCTCCACTGGCCACTCTTTCTGCCTTGGACAGAGCCCATCGGCAAAGACGAGAAGGATCTTGAGCTCAGCGACTTGGAGGACTTCGATCCGCTGGAGACGGAGCCCCAGGAGTGCGAGCTGAAACCTCCCTTCCAGCCCCTGGACAGTGGCCTGGAACGCGTCCCCGCCGCTCCCGACGGCCCCAGTGCCCCTGGAAAAGAGGCCTCCGGCGCCCACCGGATGCCCCTGGCTGCCGATGGCGGGTCTGCCCAGGACCAGGACCTGGAGAGGGCCCGGAGCTGCCTCCGGAGCGTGGTGGCGGGGCCGGAACAGCCACCCGGTGCCGCGGGCGGCCCGCAGGCCTGCGAGGCCAAGCTGGGCTTCGTGCCGGCTGGGGCGACGGGGGGCCTCGAGGTCAAACCGCGCATCTGGTCCCTGGCGCACACGGCTACCGCGGCCGCGGCCACCAGCCTGAGCCAGACTGAGTTTCCCTCGTGCATGCTCAAGCGCCAAGGCCCTGCGGCCGTCTCCTTGGCACCCTCCTTGTCCTCGCCGGCGGCCCCGGCCCCCGCTGGTGCCCTGGACAGGCACCAGGACTCCCCGGTAACCAGTCTCAGAAACTGGGTGGACGGAGTCTTCCACGACCCCATTCTCAGGCACAGCACTTTGAACCAGGCCTGGGCCACTGCCAAGGGTGCCCTGCTGGACCCGGGGCCCCTGGGCCGCTCGCTGGGGGCAGGCGCCAACGTGCTGACGTCACCCCTGGCGCGCACCTTCCCACCCTCCGGGGCGCCCGAGGCCCCAGCCGCCGGGGCCGCGAAGGAGCTGCTGGCCCTGCCCAAAGCCGGTGGGAAGCCCTTCTGCGCTTAACCCCGAGGGACCCAGGGCCCAGGAGGACGCCGGTGCTCAGGCGGCAGGCTCGCATGTCGAAGACTCTTTTTCTAACAAGTTTCCAAAGCTAGGAGAGAGCGCAGCGAAGCTCAGGCAGCCCGCCCACCCCGAGGGAGGAGCTGAACTCAGTCTCCAGGAACCACGGACAAACCCCTAGATCTGTCGCGCGAGGTCCACTGACCACCCTGACCATTCCCAAACTCGGGGATCGATGGGACCGGGCTGCGCCCAGAGCAGAAGGCAGCCGCCCTTAAGTTTACTTCCAAAAGTTTACATGGAGAAGACGTTTTCGGTTCCGAGGCTTGGTCTGTGCCGCTGCCTTCTGGGCGTGAGGCATGCCCGTGCTCTTTCCGAGGACCCCTCGGCCTGTGGACCTTCCGATTTCACCCTCAGCACATAATTCTCACCCAAAACACTTCCCCGAATTTACACTATTGCACACTCTTAACTCGATAAAATTATGTTTTTTAAATGTATGTTCACACCAGTAATTGCCTGCTTCAGAGGCTGATATAACGAAACCAATAAAACCGACTGATGATGTTTGCATTGCAAAATGCGCACTCGGCCAAGGTAGGGATTTGAGAATTTGTTGGAGGAAAAGTGCTGATCGCCGCGGGGAGGAGTGGGGGAGGGTACTGACCAGAGACCCCAGGAAGTTGCTTGCAGAACATAAGACAGGGTCTGGCAAGGCTATTTAAAAAAAAAAAAAAGTGTCAAGATTCTGTTGAACTCCCCGACAGAAGTGGATAGAGACCCAAAACTTTTAAACTCTCCACCGTTAACAGGCTCCAGAATTTTGAGTTCTCGGGAGTTTCTTTGGCTCGGTTAATTTGAATAACTTTTACACTTTCTAAATTCCCTGGGACTGTGCCCTGGTGGGAGAGGGGCAGGAAGGTCACAGCCATGACATCTTTCTTAGGAAGTCAGCCCTTGGACAGTGTTCTGCCGGAGTGTCCGGCCTTCCAGGGTCCCACCTGGCTCCTAACCCCGCCTCCTGTTCCTTCTGGGACCCGGTGCCCTGTTGGCAAAGATTCCCCACTGCGAGCTGCGGCTCCAGGAGGGGAAGGCGCGCAGTAGACCGCATACCCGAGCTGGGCTAAGTAGGAATCGGGGACAGAACCTGAAGAGCAATTCGGGTTGGGAGGACCCGGGCCTTGCCCCGCCTCCACCAAGGGCCCTGCGAGGTACGGATCCTTGGCTTTCCTCAAACACCGGGTTCCCCCACGCCCAGGCCCACTGGCGCCTGGCCCAGCGCCAGGGCCCCTGGAGGGCTGCGTGCGAGTGCAGTGCTCACTGGACTCCGGTCTGGCCCCTCGCCCGAGAGCCCTCTGCTAAGGCCCTTCTGGGCTTCATTCCACAAGTCCTAGGTGTCCCGAGGACGGACGGATCCGCAAGCCAGCCGGCCTGCTAAGGTGGAGTGGCTCTTAGGGAATAGCGGCCCTTGCCCGGGAAGGGGTCGGATTGACTGTCGTGGAGACACCAGCTGGAGACGCGGGTCCTCTCTGGGGGCTGGCGGGCAGCTTTCGGGGGACACGTGAGGCCTGGGCTTTCTTCTGGAGGGCCTGGGTGGAACCCGACCGGGGCCCTGTGGGGTCGGAGTCGGGAGCGCTCGAAAGCTGGCCCTATTGGTCAGGGGAACCCAGCCGCGTGGAGAGTTTACGCACCTTAGAGAGGGAACCGCGAGGCCAAAGCCGGTCACCTGGGCTCTGGGGGCACCCTGAGTAGTGAGACCCTGATGGCCAGACCTCGGCCAGACCCCCAGCACTGAGTGGTGGGACCTCAAAGCCCAGACCTTGAGCGGAGGGAGCAGCCTCGGTCGCCGGAGTCGGGACTGGCCGGGCCCGAGGCTGCCCGGCCGCGCGCGGTAATTGGATTGTATCCGCCCGCGCGCTGTCACCGTATTGACTTTCGCTCTCTTGGATGATATTATCGAGATTCGGAAGCTCGCCGCTGATGTGCCTGTCAAAAGGCGGCGGCGGGAGCCCCCGGCCTGGCGAGCGAGCATCAGCCAAGATAATTTGAAGTGAAATTTTCATTTTGACAGTAAACCCCTCAATTTCTAAAGGCTCGGCGCTCCGAGAGCCCGCTGGAAGGGGGAGGCTTTGCAGAAAGCCACGTCTTAGACTGAAAAGGGCAAAAGAACTCGAATTAGTTGTAATAGATAAAAGGGCAAAAATAAAGAGTCAAGGGTACTTGACAGTAATAGCGAAAGTGGAGTCTCGAGGGAGACGCTGCGGCCGAGGCTGGGGCGCCAGGAATTTTAATGCGACTGCCCGAGCGCCCCCACTCCAGCCTGAGACAAAGCCAGGCATTTTCAGCGAAAACAAGGCTTTGAGGACACGGGTGGCGCCGTGAGGCGGGACGCGGCTGTGGGTGCGGAGGCGGACGCTGCTGGCCCGACCCGCCTGCCCCGGGTGCGGGCTGCGGGCGGCTGGGGAGCGCAGCCGAGCGGGACTCGCGGGGCGGGCACGTGGCGCAGGTCGGTGAGCGCGGTGGCCCCGCGGGTCTGATTCCCATCCTTCCCCTCTGTCGCCCAGGCTGTGGCCCCAGGACCTCAGGCTTCAGCACGGTGGCGGCTCCGGACCCGGTTTGTCCCGGAGACCCAGGCCAGGGCGATTCCCGCACCGCAGGAGCACCCCGTCCTCGGTGGAACTGACGGGCTGAAAGTGGTTTATTTGATTAAACGGCAAATTTGTGTGAAATAAAGACATCAGGTGGGGAGGAGGGATTCAGCCACACCCCGGGGCAACTCACCCCAAAGGACGCCCGAAGCTGGGGCTGACAGTTCGCCCCACATCCGGCCCTCTGGGGGCACGCTCAGGTGCTCGCTTCGTGCACCTTCCCCGCCCGCTGGCCCATCTTCGGGGTTGGGGGGTCCGGCGAGGAAGGCCCCG